CATATGTGAATGACACTACCACTTCCGTTTAGGCCGCGTCATACATATATGTATGACGACATATTTTTGTTGTGAGGCCGTGTCATACGAATATGAATGATAGCCAATGCAATTCAGATGGGGATATGAATGTGTGGCCTCCAAGGAAGTCACAGGCATATTTGGCCAGAGCAAATATTGATAGATCGTGATGCAAGACAATAAAATACAAAAATCATATATGAAAAGGTTTATTCATCGTAAAAACAGTAAAACTAATATTACATAATAATGAAAAATAGTAGTTTACCTAACAAGTGCGGAAAGTGATACTATTCCGCATGTGTTAGGTTCACTATTTTTTCTACTAGCGTGCGGAAAAATAAATTACTCTTTTCCGCACTCATTTCACTGTGGAGAGTTTTTTCCGCACTAGTGCGGAAAAATGACTCTTTCAACACTGAAATGGGTGCGGAAAAGTGTTTTTTTTTCCGCACGCTAGTAGAAAAAAAACAATCATCATATTCGTCATACATATTTGAATGACGTGGCCCAGCGTGGTGAAATAACTCTTTAGGCTAACATGGGAGGCCACGTCATTCATATATGAATGACATCGAAAAACAAACAAAATGGATGAAAAAAAAATCAATAATGACTTTTAAGGGTCAAACTTGATTTTTGGAAGTGAAAATTCATGAATGGAACTAAAATGTACCTTTGGCCCCGTGGGATAAACTCCAGATATGGGCTTGGCAATCAATGTGTTAAAGTAGCTTCAAAAGTTACAGAAGCTGCCTGTTTCAAATAATCTTATGTAAATCTGCTGAGGCTTAGGAAGACAGAAATTTGCTAATTTCCTAAACTATAAAGATTTACTTCACGACAGTGTTAGTGTTCATCAGTAGAAAACAGGGTGGTCCAACCAATACAAACAATAACATAGTGAAAATTACGAAATTTAGGTTGTTCATTTCACGTTGATCATTTCAATGTTCGGTGAATTGATGATAATTTACGGTGGAGCCTCTAAGAACTTTTCTCTTGTGATTTATAACAGCGGAAGCGAAATAAAAAAATTAGAAAACAGCATGTAAGAAAAACATAATGTTTTCGATCACCAACACGAATGAATGGAATGATTAGAGGGAGTTCATGGTACGCCTGACAATGACATAAGCAAACTGTCAAAACAGTTAAACATGGCACAAAAATACAAAATACTTTATCAGAACTCCTTCATCCATAGAACGGCTAGGCTCTGGAATTCATTGCCTGATGAAGTATTCCCAACATATAATCTCCAGAAGTTCAGAAAAAAATTCCAATACCTACCTCCTATCATCCCTATCCTCCCTAGGAACGCACGATGTTCCTTGAGCATTATAGGGATTCTCTTTCGTGCTCTCCGAGCGATGAAAAAAAAAATGAAGCTATCATAGTCTATGGAAGCAATCAATCAGATCCGACATAACAAGAGAAATCTTATGACGAACTTCATGAAGGTTTAAAGCAATACAATCCAATTTTGGAAGAAGAAACGAGGGCAGTCTGAAAAATTGTTGGATTATCAAAGGAATCAAAATAAGGATGTCAATGGAGTAGTTGATTTCAATGTTTTAATTGAGTAGAACTTCAATATCGTCCCACATATATCAAACGATATTGATATTAATTTTCTTCAGGGATATTTAATTATGGATCATCTTAATCTGGGCATCCCTGTATTCGAAGAAGTTAACTTAACCTTTTCACAAAATTCGGAACGCCGAATAGAGGCATTCAACGATATAAACTTGGCACCCACCTGGTTGTTCTCAGATTATTTAAGCGTTTCTTAATACAGGCCATTATTTAAGATCACAGATTGCTAATTAAGAGCTCGGAGTGTGTATCATGGTTGTATGCTACGGGCTGATACGACAAATTATGATTGTTAGGTAGAAAATATCATCAGCGTTTTGAGTTTCCTCATTTACAGTAGGTATACCTGACAATGCTTTCTTATTCTCGAGAGCAGAACACTAATTGGTTAACACGAATTGGAGGAGCCATTTTGGGAATGTATGGATTAGTGAATTCTGGCCGGTTGATTAAACGAAAACCAAAGTATTGTATCGTCTTCCATATGATACTCCAACGAATCAACTGTATAAGGAAACAAACACATTTTCTTTGGAAGAGCACTAGATAATATAACTTGTTTCATCTTGAAGCTGCAAATTCTAAACTTGGACAAAAAAAGTTTACACATGAGGCGATTTCGAAATTCAATAATTTACCAGATGATATCAAAAACAGCCCAAATATTATGCAACTCAAAAATAAAGTTAAGAAATATATTTTTCCCCTTCTTGTTCACTATAATATGACTGTATCTCAATGATATGTTAGTTTTGTTCACTATTTGTAATTTCAATTATACAACAGTCGATAATACTTCATGAATGATCTTATACCAGGAATTACTGTCTGATCATTCATGTCATTCCTACTAGAAAATTAATTATACTTTATATATTATTTGTATGAAATGTATCAATGAAGAAGAGAATGTAATGCAATAACTGGAATGAATAAATAAATAAATAAATAAATAAAATTCTCCCATTCTAAGCAACCCAAAAATATGTTTCATCTTCAGTTGGAATTTTATTAATGGTCAAGAGATTATAAATATGAAGATGCAATTCCGAGACCGTGTAATACTATCATTCCTCAAGAATAAGTATAACTTGAAGGAGTATTTCAATGGAGGTGTCTTTTTCATGTAGATCACTAAGTATGGCACTTCTTTCGAGATATAGTTTTATCATCATTCTTGAGGAAGGATAATATTGTGCATGAGAATCTGCTACCTGCCATGAAAAGTACAATCACATGTAAATTCGAAGGAGAACTTGTGACAATTAGGTTGGTATCAGATTGCTCGATACCAAATCTCCATTCAATGCGATGTAGCAGAAAGCACCGTCATCAGGCATCGGCTGGTTTATGAGGAATTCGTTTGCTTCTGAGCCAGTCGGGTCGATGATCGGTTTGTTCTCAGCAGCATTTTTAGCAGCTTCAGCCAGTGGCGTCAAAGTTTTCCAGCTCGGTAGTTCTGCGAAAGGACCGACTGAACGCAAGTCTTGAAGGTACCTGGAAAATTACAGTACAAGATAAAAAACTCTCACACGTCGAAGATTTTTCAAGTGTAGATTTACCCTAAAAGTGCCATCATGTAATCGTTTCTGATAGCTTTCATACTTGAGCAAGACTCCCTTCCTTGGATAGAACAGAGCATCTGAAGCCATGCAGCTATTCTTGTTCGATCATTTCCAATCCTTATCAAGAAGGCGTACGGTCTCGCTATGTATAGGAACAGTTGGAATTCTTGATCCAATATCTGTAATATCATTAATAATTTTTTCTTCTCACATAACTAAAATGGCATTTTGCGTAGGTACGGATATGTACCACTCTAAATGATCAATCATTAATCACGGATTGATAATCTATGATTTATTCAAAAAATTAAACACGTTACCATGGCAACACAATTTCTTAAACACATTACCACGGCAACAGAGTTTTTCAAACACACCTTGTGTCGTTCGATTCCTGTCCGGCCTGTCAATTGTAGGAACTGTCAACCGTCATTTTCGACTTTTGTTGCAATCATATTTATTCAACCAATTTATGTTTGCATCAGAATTTCTCATTGAAAACGTATGCAAGTAAGTACTTCACAAACGATGAGATTTCCACAAAATTCTCAATAACACGACATGTTTTGATAACACAGTAGCTTCATCAGTTGATATACTGAAGGAAACCATCAGATGAACTGTTCGAAAAGAAATACTGAGGTTAAGAGGATCCCGAATATGAGTTTTATGCAATATCAACTCAAGAAAGCACATTTGAGTAATATAAATGAAGTGTGGAAATGAAGCAATATACAACTTCAATAATTATCTGTTCGATAGTGTTTCCTGCTTTGATTGAGTTTTGAATTATCAATAATTCCTTCTTGTTGTATTATTTTATTTCTAGGACGTACCAATACGAGAAGAACATGGAATATCGTCTTCAACTTGTTGGTCATGATCAAGAAGATGAAAATGTCGAAATATTGGATAATCTGCTTGTGCGTGGTGATGTAAAAATTAGTGAATTGTTAGGTATTAATTTTATGGAAATTCATCAATACTAGATAGGTACTAGGCAATAAATATATAGTGCAGGTAGGAATGAAATGTTCAATTATAGAATTGAAAAAAATGAAAATAATATGTAAGTATAGGTTGACGATATCTAGTTGTCATCATCTACATGAATGATGGTGGTTCCTTCTACGAGGAGCTAATCTCTATGCTCCTACTGATATATCAACATCTTCTATGATCTGTTGAACCTGTTTGCCAATCATCCTCAGTTCTTGTACGCGTGGAAAATGAAGGGTGTCCTACCTACTTCAGTTGATCTTCCTTTTTTACTGTGAGATATTTGCCCAACAATTATGGAATCAATACTATTCTGAAGAGGAAGTTAATGACTTTCAGGTTCTCTGCTAGCCAAAATTTTACATCAGAAGTAATTCTGTAAATAAGAATTTCTTTTGGGCTCCAGACCTACCTATCTTGGGTATGATATTCCTCATGCCTAGATCAATATTTCCAAATACCTACGGTCATGTACTCTCTGCAAGATCTGACAGTGGTCGATCTCCAAAGTAAATTCTGAATTTCACGAAAAACAGCACTAAAAAACTGAGGAAAGGATTTCGAAACACATTATTCCCATATAAACCCATGCAATCGATTCTAATGTTACCCTCCAAGCAGAAAAGACACGCCCACTTGGTCACGTACCGTAGATGCCTAATACACGCCAGCCTTCTCATTGAGCCCATACCCACTCAGCTATACTACTATCACCTCATACCTCGTCCAACCGATGGTCGGCCTTGCAATCCGCTTCCTCCGCATGAACGCTTCATATTGAGCCCGTACCCTCTCAGCTATACTACTAACACCTCATACCTTGTCCAACCGATGGTCGGCCTTGCACTCCGCTTCCTCCGCATGAACGCAGCACTCCAGCATGCGGAAGTCCCCTGGCAGCCCTTGCAGCGTGTCCTGCCACATTTTGTCCACCTCCCATTCTGCTGCTTGGACCGTGGGAGGGACAAGGGCCTCGCAGTCGGGTAGCGCCCCATCGGGAGGGAAACCGCGGAAGACGCCGATGGCCTGGTCGAGAAGCAGTGAGGTGGACAGGTAGGCCAGATATCTGAAGCAAGAGAACAGGGAATATACAGGGAGGTTTATGAAAAACAGCACCAGATCACAAGAACTCTGCATCTTGAAAAAATATGTGTTCTTCGTCTAATATACTTTTATTCCTCTTCTCCAAATCTTTTTCAATAAAAATTGTCACTGACAAGCTGGTGAACTTTTCTTTAAGGCTCTCTGGTAGGAAAATTCTTTGAAGGCAGTAACATTTTGGGGCAAATCATCTGATTCGTCCTCACTACACGTATATTGAAATAATATTCATATTTTTATTTCATAGAAACGAGTAGAGAGAATCCCAGAAAATCTAGGATAATGAAAGTACAACCTCCTCGATCAAGCTACAGACAATAGGTACTCGATATTTGGAATTTTTTCATTGCAAGAACCATATGACAGTCGACAGTCTGCAAAATCATTCACAGGATGAATTTCTCGATGAAAACACTCGATAGCGAAATGTAGAAACTCTTACCCGTTCTAAATTGTCTCCAATGAAGAAAAAGTTAGATGCTAGGTGATCAAATCAACGAATTCTACATTTCTCTAATAACTCACCGATTTCGTTTCTCTCTCAATTTCGAGCTATGATACTCCGGCCTGAACAATTTCCTGATCCATGGTATTATATAATTCCGATCATCTTCCTTTGTCAGAGTAGGACCAAGTATTCTCAAAACCGAGCTGTAGTATAAAAATTCTGTGTTGAGTGGATCTTGGGCAGCTCTGAAAAAAATTACTCATGCAGATATTACTGTGTAAAGCTTGATACTTACATGAAAATACCTACCAAAATGGCCAATGAATATAATCTTTAGAAATCTGATAAATCGCTAACATTTTAAAGTTTACATGGGATTGATGAAATTTCATCTACACAGGATTTTTTTTATGTTCTGGTTCCCACGAAAAGGAATATCCTGTAATGTTGAGAGAACATCGTGAGAACCAAGGGAAATGAAGTAGGAATTGGTGTTCTCCTCAAATTCCTGGAGGTTATATGCCTATAGGCGAACACCTCCCTTGAAAATGTGTTCCAGATCCTCGCTGTTCGTTGGATGAACGAGTCTTTGGAAAGAGATGTTCTACAGGTCTCCAAAGTGACCACGAAGGGGTGCGAAGCCTCAACTCGACGGGTAATCTAGCGGGGACTGCCAAGGGAGGAACAATTGTTGATATTCCATCGTCCATGAAAATATCTATAGAATAGAGCCAGATCGCCAACTTTTTTACAGTGTTCCAGAGAAGTGAGTGAGTTTGTGAACGAGGCATCACCCACGAGACGAATTGCCCTTTTTTGGACAGAATCCAAAAGTTTCAGGGTATTTTTGGGTGCTGCACTCCAAATATGCGAATAGTATTCCAGGACAGGTCGAATCTGTGCCTTATAGATCATAAGCAGGTGACTGGAAGTGAAATAGCCCCTGGCTCGAAACAGAAAACCAAGTTTTTGGGATGCACTTTCAGCAATTGATCCCACGTGATTTTTCCAAGCAAGGTTATTGCTGATACCAAGCATCGAAATGGATGTCTCCAAAGATATACTTATTAAGAAAAAGTCGAAAATATTCGATTCTATTGTTTGAAGTTCATCATGTCTCCTGAAGTAAGTAGGTAGCCAATACTTAGATTTTCACCACCCTATGTATGTACCTTTGTGCTGCAGTCACCGGTGGTACTATTTGTGGACCTCCGGGTGTAGCTGGTGTTCTGAAAAAAAAAATACATGATCTAGATGAGATTATCAAACACTAAGGCGATTCCGAATATCCAGAATTGCTGTACAATCTACTATACTCACGCATTTGCTGCAGCATCGGCTGGAGCACCTTCAGCTTCACCAGGTGGGGCAGCAGGGGCCTCTTCAGCCGCAGGGGCTTCTGCAGCTGCAGCTTCTGCAAAACAAAATTTCAGTTGGAGCTAGACTAGTTCTGAATATTTTTCCACATGGTCATTTATTTATATAATATATATACATATACATATATATTTTATTATTTTTTTATATATACTGCGAAAACATATTTACCGTCTGCAACAGGAGCTTGTTCTTCGTCAGCCATTGTGTTTTTGCTCTGGGAATTTTGAATAGATTTTCGAAAGACGTATAATGAAGTGATTTGTCACAATATCCTTGTCACAATAGCGTTTGTCAGAAAATACTGAGTGAAGCAACTTTCATGGAAATCAAGTCGTATCGATTTTTCCGTCGTATTTTTCTTTCACTAAACACTTGTCGATAAATCTCTCTTTACATAATATCCAATACACGAAAAAAGTCATCAATTTGGTTTGTTATATCGATGATCCGTCTTTTGATAGGTACCTCGTTGAAAATTAAGAAGAAAAATGTTATTCTCATCGTTGTTAAGATGGAGTTTTTCAGGATTCCTGGAAAGAACGATCGGTTGTGGTTGTGATCTGTCAAAACTATACCAATATATTATTATATATTTTTATTCTATTATATATTCTGCTTGTTAAAATATCAATTGAGAATCAATATTCCTACAAAGGCATATTATGACGAAAATTTAAATCTTTCTCATCTCTTATCCATAGGTCTTATAATTCGACCCCAAGGACCAAACGAGAAGTTTGTTGTGAAAAACGATTCAAAATACCTGAATAAAAAACGCAATATGTAGCGATGGATCTTCCGGAGTTTTTCAAAATTTTTATATCATTTTGAAATTTTTGGTTGAAAATGAATATAATATAGCCACTATATATATCTGAATATATCTTTGGAAGAGGGTGAGAGGTTGTATAATAATATGGTGTAGTATTATTCAAGGCTTGTCACATCATAATATCATTATGTGTGGAGTCAGGAGTGGATATAGAACAAACAAATGTTATAAAATGTCTGTGTTCACAATCATCTGCTCTTGGGCCGCCTCTACATGAGATTCAAATAATTCCAAAGGAAAATGATGAGCTGTGGCAATGTGAATGTCCCTGTGAAGCAGGCATGTCACGGTTTTGTAAACACATTTTATAGAGACTTATATTGACAGTTAGGAAGGTGCACTTTTGATCTATCACACACAGGTAAAAAATAAATGAAATTTCAGGAATGAAGACTTGGAATATGTGAAGCTGCATAAACATGTGCAGAAGTGGTGAAAAGAAAGAAAAGAGAGTAGATCAGTCAAAGATCTATTATACAGCAAAACCATTTCAATAGTTCTGCTATCCACTTATTAAAAGAAGGAAAGTGACCCCCTAAGGAACAGTACCTACCTACATGCAGGGTCAAGGATGGAAATCAATGGAAAAATCATTCTCCTTTTATATAATTCAAAGTAATTTCACACATGTACTCAATGTAAACAACTATTGCATGGTACTCAGGAACACTGGTGAGTTCCTTAAATTTCAACATACCATCAGGAAAACTGTATACTTATATTAATTTCGAATTATTTCAGGCTATACTTTCTACTTCATTTTTACATGTAGCAAGGAGTCTTGGGAAAAAAGAAATCAACTTCTTCTTTCCAAAGGATTTTACAAATACATTTGTTCAGCATGGAGTTGAATATGAATTCAAAGCTGAGGTCCTTACATAGAGGTTTGTTAAATAATGTTTATAACATTCACCTTGAATTATTTTCTCAAATTTTCATGGTTCAGAACATTTTGTGGAATACCATTTCCTGATAGATGGTATGAAAAATGTGAAGTTGAAAGAGAGACACATTCATTATGGATAAATTCAGTTGGGAATAATGGCCCTAAAATATCCCTAATGAACTTGAAAGAAACCATTTTTCTTGTATAATTCCCTTTTTTCCAAAACTTACACATACATCATACATATACATATCTTAAAGATATTTCCATTATGTTGTACTTTTATTGCTTTAACAAAATGGAATAAATTGTGATGACTTCTTCATTGATTCATGTTCTTATTATTTCGTTTTAAAACAATAATATTTTCCAAATTGATACTGAAAAAAAAACCATTAGAATCATTCAATTTATCCAGTAGGATATCCTCTTTAGTTAATTGTTTCTTCTTTCTCAGAAATGATGGCCTTATCAATTTCAAGAATTTTTCTCCACATCCCTTGTCAGCATGCCCTTATCCACCATGATTCCATCATTAGGTTCAGACTTCCCAATAACATTTTCTTTATTAAAAGATGCTTTATCAGTAGCTCAACCTCCATATCCTTAAATGCCAACAGTAATCAGTCCTGATGGAGTGATATTGCAATGAGAATTTGATTGAGTTTTTGTAATGTGTCTGTACAACAGGAGCACTGAGGAACATAACATATCTTTCTAGATTTCTGTTTTCAGTCTTTTTTACTTGCTGCATGTTTTGGGAAAACAGTAAACTATCTCGTGGATACAAAAACATATTGGAACTTCGAAATTTATCAAAATTCACTGGATTGCACAATGCTGAATTTGTTTGTTTTGTTTATCACCTCCGCCATTTCTATTTTGCCGCTCGACAAAAGACGACTGGGGAAACAGTGACGTCAGGCCAGAGGAATATGAGGTTACCTTAATAGCCTTGAGCCAGGAGTTCTGCTACATTCTCAAAGAAAAATGAACTGAAAAGTGGGCACTACCCGAACGGTTGCCAAAAACCCCTATTTCTTGCGCATGAAGTCGAAGTAAACTGAGAAAACAATAATCAATTATCGCCGTTTCTCTTTTCAATGGCGTCCAGAACTACGGATAATAAAGTGACTGATTAAGTATTTAAACACGTTAAGTGTTAGACTGGGTGGACGGCATTGTGGAGGGCCGAACATGTCAATCAGAGACGGACACAACAATGGTCGCGTCAACCGACCACAAAGGCCCCACACAAAAACCTCCTTCTAATCGGAATCGACCGGAACTGCTCCCTTTAATCATGCAAGAGAGTTTTTCACCTTTGTGCTTTCCAATCGATTTGGATATTGAATTCGATTTCCACCTGATCTGCATGATAGAGCAATGGTTCTCAAACTCATTTTGCACGCCCACTTTGCGAAATAAAATTGTGTATCGCCCCCAAAACTTTTTAATAATTATTATAAGAAATTATGTACCCTCTCTATGAAGGGACCAACTTGAGAACTCCCGCACAAAATGAACCAACAAACATTAAAATCCATCATGTATACGTATTTAATAATAAACACCAGTTCAAAATTGTTGACCACATCCACAATACCCGCATGAATATGAGTGCAAACTTTGAAGTGCCCAGAATGAAGAAATCTATAGGACAAAGAACGATTGTTTTCACAGGCCCTAAACTATATAACCGTCTCCCAATTTCAGTCAGAGAAATTAATGTATTCACTTTATTCAAGAAAAAAATTATCGTATGGCTCTCAGACAGTGTTATTGATATTTTCTAAGAAAATCATACAATTTTTGACAGGCAAACTCAACCATACGTCTCAGCGAGTCATTGAATATCAATCAATTTTATACCATATCCATAAATCTGTAACTTCAGTATTTTTTATTATTTCATTTTCAAAATTGTTAAGTCTTAGTTCCAAGATGTAGCTCTAATTACACATTTAGTTATGGACTGTACAATCCTTAGACAAGTTGCTACTTTGCAGACAGGTTTTCTGAAAACCTAAGCAACGTAGTAAACGTCCCAGACTTAAGAATTGATCAAATTAGATATCTATTTAATATAATTTAAGGACTGTACAGAACCCACTCTCTCTATACATATTTATTCGCATCTTCCAGATCGCCATAATATAAATGAACTAAATTTTCCTCATATACATATATTTGTACTAATTATTGAATCGAACTGAATAAATATCTATCTATCTATCTATCTATCTATCTATCAAGTGGTTTCCGAGGAATTCGCGAACATAGTTAAAGAAAGGTCCACGTCTAATATTGACCCTCCTTTTTTTTGTAATTTGGTTAATGATGAGATATGAGTCTAGTGCATTGACAATTTTTTGATTCCTGAACTCAAATAAGAATGGTCGTGAGAATTCGAGATACGTCTTCAATAACTATTTTGTGCAGGCCAAGAACAGTTATTTATATACCAAGGTAGTAAAGAATATCAGTATTACCCAGGGACCAAGCTTGGTAATGATATACTTTACTACCAAGGGTGTATATTGCATTTCATTCACCACTAGCGATTAGCAATTATTTCAATCATAATAGTTCTGTGAAACTGAAATATGGAACTATTCTCACTATAAAAGCCTCGATAAAAGCACTCCCTTTCAATTCAAATTGAAATCTAGTAGCACATATTCGGGTCGATTCTGTTAGCAAATAGCAATATGGTTGTAGGGAAGATATTGCTATCATAGCAAGATTCGAAAAAGTGGAATTCTAATCATCGATTTTTGGCAATATGATCTGTCAATTTCAACGACATCTGGTCAGCTCTCTTGCTATCTCGGCAACATCAATTTTGTGCTTGCACTACAAATTCTTCCAACTGTATGAGAATTCAGTAAATAGTGGATTAAAAACATATGAAAGTTCAGTTGTGTCACTGTCTACTCGAAAACCTTTCCTCAATGTTTCAATTCATGGAAGAATTATTGAAAAACTTAGAATGGTGATTACAAACATATAGGATAGGTTCACTATTGTGACCAACTAATTGAAAACCTTTGCTTGAAGTTCCAGTTTGTAGAGGAAATATGAGACTACAATTTCGGCATATCAGAGAAATTTCAGTTGCCTGATGGATAGTTTATCAAGCTATTTTGCTAGAATATTGAAAAAAAAATCACGATTATTTTGATCTGGCTTTTAGTTTTTTTCTCATTTCGGGGACATGATTGATTACTTGCACCAGTCGCACAACGACGACCAGATTCAGCGAATACAAAATCTCTCGATTTGAACAATATAATTTTGTAAAATGTCAGTGCAGGACTGACAAATTTGAGGTTAAATAATCCTTCTTCTTCATGAAATAATGCCAAAATCGATACCTAACACTTAAACAATGAGTTGAAAACAGTGTTGTCAATCAAAAATTCTCAATTTTTCAACAATATTGCTATCACTTGAACTTATAACCAGTCTTGCAGTTACTCTG